CTGGCGCATAGCCGTGCGCAGTTGTTGCTAGCAAGAGGTAGCTAGCTTAATCCAGTTAACATTTTGCCTTGTTCAACAAACACCTTCCTCTGTGCGCACCACTACAAGCTGTGTGGCAGCAACGCCCATGAATGTTCGTGGAAGGCTCCAACCAAAGCAACGCGGTGGGTCGTCGACGGCGCAGAATACCATAGTCGAAGCGCACATTGTGACGTTGGCATGGATGACAAGTGCGAGTCGAGTGAAGAACGTGACAAGGTGTGTGCGGCGGCAGAACTATTGCAGATGACCTTTTCCCCGCCTCTTCGCATGTCCTTCCATGACTCGCTTTGCACGACAACTTGACGTGTGGAGCAAGCCAGCCGTCGCCGCTCCTGCGACACCCTACTTCAAAAAGGGGTATGAATTTGTTGCACGTGTTTTTTATATGTTTCACGCGTGTTCAATAGTGGTATATTCTTTGGCTAACTTGCACGTGTGCACAAATGACTTGGACTTGTCAAGGACTGACTTGCGCGTGTCGAGTCTGTCTGTCGATGGCAGGTGTTTTCCATGATTTCCCCTACTTAAGTACAATACTAAAGTAATACTAATCTCGTTGCATGTCTTCGATGCAGCTTTGTATGAAATTCTGGTGCTATATGTCGCAGTTCTCCATGCAGGAAGTGATGCTACTCTCCTTATGTCAACACATCAATTCCTGGCATTAATCCAAAACAGAGTAGTTTTCATACGGAGTCAACAAACCTAACATTTAGTACTGTGCACGGTGATATACGCACTTTCGATCGAAAGCTTCCATATGCTTTCAATACTTGGGCGGACACTGAAGAAAGAGGGTTAGTCATAAGATTGTGAGACTTTGTCTGCACGGGACTGTAAAGCAGCTATTGTCCCTTAAAATGACCACAGAATTACCCTGAAGGCATGTACTCCATTCCACTTGCGTCCAATAAAGTAAATTGAGAAATGAATTGAACAGGGCAGTATGATTGGCCAAAAACCAAGAATGTTTTGTTGGATAATTGATATCAAAAATTTGAGGATCGTACAATCGTCGTTTGTAGAAGTGTTGACATATTTATATTCTGATATAATCAGTGCGGTTTTACCCAAACCTTCAATGCGACTAACAGTGGTGGGCGGCATCGAGGGGACTTCAACAAAAACTATAAACTTTTGGAAAAAGTTCACAACGTGCATCCATTATCAATTTTTCCTTGACCTGAAACTTTATAGGAGCCACGGACATAAACACGCAATCTTGTCAAATATTGTATGTCTCAGAACGCCTCCAACATCACAAATAGAAGGAAATAGAAACATACGATGCATATGGACATTCATTCACAACTTTGGAGCAGAATATTTTGCAAGGTATTGTGTTTTAGGATCATTTGATTGCACGGTTCGAACCAGCGCGCGATGCAGATTCGTTTGACGTATTCCAAGTCTATCGTAGCATTTTTTTTCACACGAAGGAGTAAAAGTCCCCTCGATGACGCCCGCCACTGTAAATTGACACTGCTGGTAAAAATTGGTTGTTCTATTTTCGGTACTTCCAGCAAATATTATTCGGCATGTCAGTGCATCTTGAGTAACGGATGAGCGCTAATAGCAGTACAAGTTACTGTTTGCCATTAATTGTCATGATCCGACGTTGCGCGGGTGGTGTGAATCAGCCTAGCAGCCCTGAAGGCTCGTATGCGTCGTGGTCAAGTAGGGACATCTCGCCAGAACCACCAAGTGACAGCGAGTCCGCTTCGCTGCCATCAATTCAAAATCGTGGTGCACTTCGGCGCCGAGTCGCAGCTGCTGGATAGCAACATCCAGCACAGCTTGGACCCCTCCTCTGTATGCACCCAGTACGGTATACACCCAACACTACTGCTGGAGATCGATGAATGCCTTCGACATGGTCTCACTCTAAAAAATACTACTGGTATGTCAAGTCAATATTTTTGGTTAACTAAAGGTGTTGTGGTTCACAAAATGTGGCGTGCGTGTCTGCGGTGACTTGTATGCATTCAAGTCGATGTCATTCTCAATAAAATAGGTGGATTTGTACACACGACATGCACAAAATTCAGCCTACCTGGCGCTACTTTCCACGTTGCGACAACTGAAGAATCGCAAGCAGCATCTAGTCCGAAAGCGCGGCAGTGGATGGGAAATAAAGAACTTGGCCGGACTTGCCGACTGGGCGGCGGCGCACACATGCAATACGTCAAGCGATTTTTTTGCCCGTGAGGGGAGCGCCGTGACTTACGACAACTTCTGCGAACAAGACGACGAATACAGGTTCATTTACTATACAGTTTGAACTTGTAACAACTATATGTGCATTAGAAATGGACTCATAGTCTTGGACACCTTCGAAGGTATTTTCGATGATGCTGGGGAAGAAAAGTCCACTGTCGGCATTATCGTATCCTCCCGCCAAAACATGTGGAACGCAGCTCGTTCATACAATCGTCAGAAGGTGGATCTTTCGATGTCTACGGACGGCACGTACAAGTTGCACTTTGGTATAATGATATCTATATCTAAAGAATCTTAAAATTTATCGACAATACTAGGTGGCTGGACTCTGATCGACCTGGGGTCAGTCTGCACAAAGTTTTGTGACGGCCATTTTCGCCAGAGGTTTATTCCATGGACGTACATGTTTGTTCGCACTGAGTGCGACGAAGCGTACTGGAAGCTCTTTGATGTGACAGCAAGGTCATTGCAATTCGTTCTTCGGATTTACCCTCCTTCCAAAGGTTCGGGCACTGCATAATAGTCCTTAGCTGATGTGGGAACAGGTGTGCTGCATAGCCGCTATGTATGTGGCGTGATCCACGCCACATACATAGCGGCAGCACTTCGACAGAAGTGGCCCAAAGTCCACGTTACAACGTGCTACGTGCATATGAAGCGGAACGTACACCGCCATCGAAACCATCTGGTTGACCCGGCAAACTATATCATAGTCAAGGCCGATATCCACAAGATGTAGTGTTCACGTACACATGGCCACAATTCCAGCAGATTGCACGTATAGTGCTCTTGGAATGGCAAGTTGTCCTTGGCGAAGACCATTTCGCCGATTGGTTCCACGAAACATTTTTGATTCCACCATGGGAATTCTGGTTTGTGACAGCATCCGGCGTTGCTGGTGTGACGTCGCATCAACAGCCCATTGAAAGTCACCGCAAGTGCATCAAGCAGATCTGTGCCCATGAGCTACGTGCTGTGACGTCAGTGGTGCTAAATCATACGCTTCCTCGAATTCTTGTTTCTGACGCGATGTCGTTCGAAAGCGAGCCAACGTTATGGGACGTTGCTTCGTTTAATACCGACACCCTCGACAAAGCCCTGCTCTTAACTCGACCCGTAAACCACAAAGTTCTCGCTGGTGGGTGCGTAGTGTTCAACGTTGGTGCTGAAATCGAGTCGCAAATGCTCTGCATGCACTGTGTCCGTGTGGACGAAAGGATCAACCTGGGCGATGCTGTCAGCAAGATCACGCAGCTCAATGCATTGGAGGTATGCCGCCGAGTGCCCCAATTACGACATCGTGGCGACGAATAGTTCGAATCAATTCGCGTCAAATCTATTTGCGACTGCGCGGCTTACATGCGTTCAGGGTGGTTGTGTTCGCATACCGTTGCTTGCATGTCGCTCGAGGATGGGTTCGACATTCGGATAGGGCTGCGGATATTGCCCATTCGAAAGTCTTCTGGGCGACCCCGCAAAGCGTCTAAGGCCCTAAAGGCCGACACTCGAGAACGCCAGTTCACACTCATATCGCTTATAGATCAAGCAACGCACAATCTCTCCATAGTCGGGTACAGGTCGGTACAGGTGTTGCAAAAGGTCCCGAACAACAACAGATCTGTCCAACGGCGAATAGCTGAAGGAGTCAGTTACATTCGTTGGCAGGGTCGACAACTTTGTTGCCACGAGAAGTGCGTGGCTTGTGCGGTTCAACGTCAACGACCAAATCGAACAAGTGCTTATGAACACCGAGCAAGGTGCAAAGGCAATTCACATTGCCAATCACAGCGGCGTGGATGTCACATCAAAAATGTACCTCGTAGTATAAGCGCAGCTATCCATCAAAATACAGTTCTGAATTCGGGAGTCTGCTGACCACCCGTTTCGACAGGTTCCGCGAGGGGCACAGGCGCGGCACTGCGGTCGTACCATGGGGACCCTTCCACCAGACCACACACCAAAGTCTAGGATTCCTCGGTCTGTTCTAGGCTAGATACACTCAATTCAACTTTCGGGAGTCTGCTGACCACCAGTTTCGACAGGTTCCGCGAGGGGCACAGGCGGGAACTGCGGTCGTAACATGAGGACCCTTCCACCAGAACATACACAAAACCTGGGATTATGCATTCTGACTTGCCTACTAGAGTAGGCTAGTCATAGTACACATGAAGGTTGGTGGTTCTCCGTCTGGTAATTACCTCTGTTTGCGCGGTTTCTATGTGCTTGTAATACACGCGTTAGTTATCCTGATGTCATCCTGTCACACGCGCATGCCATCCCTCCCCACGCGCAAGTCATCGTTTCCGCGCCTTCATTTTGTCGACACGCGTATTAGAGAGTTTTAGCAAGTCTGATTTCCTCACACTTCACACTTGAACTTCGTTTCGAATTTCGAAGACTGCAGACTTCACTCGAAATCTAGTCTGCAAAGTGAGGAATTCAGCAGACTTTTCAC